ATATATATATATGTAGCAGTTTTTGTGGGTGCATATATTAATTTTGCTGGATTTTCGACCACATTCAGGAGAGCGATGGTATCATTTCATTCCACGTTATTTCGAACAACTGCGAAGGGACTCAGCGTTGCCGAAAGTTACTCTGGCTTTTGCAGTTGAAGTGTCTTTTCAGCATGCAATTACCATGCATGCCGAAGGAGTACGTCACACGGCTTGTTTTCGACTATCGCCACAAGAACTTGGTTATCGTCAAAAAAGGTGGCTAATGCTCCTTCAAGAAAAAAAAACTGATAAATTACGTTGAGCTGTACCATAAGCCGTTTTGGCTTGGTTGGCGTGTTAATTTGGCTCCAGTCTTGCGCCGAAAGGTAGTCTTTCGATCCTGCCTGTGGGTAAAGTAATCGCCGTATGATTCTTTAATTCACTGCACTGCTAACATGATCTGACACATACGAAAAAGTTGAAAATTGCATCACTCCCTCTCAGCTTTTCACCAAAGAGACCCATATATGAAGTGGGTTTGGCGTTTCGGCTGTATTCGTAAGCAAATTGTTGATTTTCAGAGAGCGGCGTGATTGGTGGTATTTGCTTCAGACAGTTCCCGACCCAAGGCTTCATCGAAATTGTCTTCTGTGCAGTAACTGCAGCTGAACAGGTGGTAGCAGTTCATTGGCTCTTCTTATTTTTGCAAGCATCTTGATGAAAAATTTTGATTACAGGTGAAGGGCTACGGCACTCACATGATGAATCATTTGAAAGATTATCACATCCGAGTATGCCATATCTACCACTTTTTAACGTATGCGGATGAAAACGCCATTGGCTATTTTAAAAAGCAAGGCTTTTCTGAAGAGTTGGCGATTGATCCGAAATTTTATCGCGGTTTTATAAAGGACTATGAAGGAGCAACGTTGATGGGCTGTCAATTACATCCAGGGTGGGTATGTTTGCTTCCGTGGCCTCATTGGTGCAGATCGTTGTGAATTCATCACCAGATGGAAATTGTCGACGAGTCATTATTGTAATGTTCAATTATTCGTTGCAGGATAGTCTATAAGAATTTTGCTAACAGTTTGAAATGTCTTCACAGACTGTACCAGAATGCGGTGAAGGAATGTTTTTTGGATGAGGTGAAAAGATGCGCAGGAGCTGAAAGTATATTTCAGCGGCACGGTAAAGTTTCCTTCTTGAGGTTTGGCTACTTTCCCAGTAACGTCTTTTGCATGTCTGACGAGAACCATGCTTCCCTCGGAATATTCCTCATCCAGCTGCTACACATATCTTAGTATTCTGCCTAGGTA